GAAGACAACATATTGGAGACAACATATATTAGACAACATATGGAAGACAACATATAGGAGATGACATATAGAAGACAACATACAAGAGACAACATATAGGAGACAACATATGAAAGACAGCATATGGAAGACAACACATAGGAGACAGCATATGGAAGACAACTGTATAGGAGACAACATATAGGAGACAACATATAAAAGACATACAGGAGACAACAATTAAATATTGTAATACTAAACACAATTAAATACTATAGTTTTAGTGTTGTTGTTTAACAAATTGACTGCCACGTCATCCACACATGTGTGACACTTAAGTTAAACTGATCTAACATGAGTATTATTAAAAATTTGTTTACTTTCCTCATAAAAAATTCTTGAATTAATTACATGAACTATGGAAAAGAAATGTAATAAGATATTGTGAAAATATTTGGTAAAATTTATTAAAAATTAAAACACTACTTCGTGCAATTTTTAATTGTTTCAACGTGGTAGTCAATGTGTTAACTGGTCCACTGATCGTGGCTTACACATGTTTTCACACGTAACACAGAAACGAATGTGCATTTACCTCCCTCCAGAAAACAAATTCCATCACGAAACACCGGTGTAGCAATGGAACGGATAAGCGGCTATAGAAATCGTTTCCCGTAGGAAGCGGAGAAACATTTTCAGCGTTCTTGTCGCTAGCAGACAACATATGGAAGACAGCATATGGAAGACAACACATAAGAGACAGCATATGGAAGACAACACATAGGAGACAGCATATGGAAGACAACTGTATAGGAGACAACATATAGGAGACAACATATAGGAGACAATATATAGGAGACAACATATGGAAGACAACATATAGGGGACAACATATAGGAGGCAACATATGGAAGACAACATATAGGAGACAATATATAGAAGACAACATATAGGAGACAACATATAAAAGACATACAGGAGACAACAATTAAATATTGTAATACTAAACACAATTAAATACTATAGTTTTAGTGTTGTTGTTTAACAAATTGACTGCCACGTCATCCACACATGTGTGACACTTAAGTTAAACTGATCTAACATGAGTATTATTAAAAATTTGTTTACTTTCCTCATAAAAAATTCTTGAATTAATTACATGAACTATGGAAAAGAAATGTAATAAGATATTGTGAAAATATTTGGTAAAATTTATTAAAAATTAAAACACTACTTCGTGCAATTTTTAATTGTTTCAACGTGGTAGTCAATGTGTTAACTGGTCCACTGATCGTGGCTTACACATGTTTTCACACGTAACACAGAAACGAATGTGCATTTACCTCCCTCCAGAAAACAAATTCCATCACGAAACACCGGTGTAGCAATGGAACGGATAAGCGGCTATAGAAATCGTTTCCCGTAGGAAGCGGAGAAACATTTTCAGCGTTCTTGTCGCTCCTTTTAATACGAAGATTTAAATCTCGGCTGCAAGAAGAGTAGAATAGTGTGTTCCGAACAGAGTTCCGTTGTTAGGTCTTATCGAGTTTTAAGGATTCATAAGATTGAGTGATGCATGATTCAAGTTCACTGTATGCGCGAAGATCTGATAGAAATATTCTTTGCTATCGTTTGTTCTCTTGAACGCACATTTTCTAGAATTTTAAAAATTGGAGACAAATTTTAAATTTAGTGAGTGATTATTATATTGGTGAACAGCTTAGGAATGAATAATTGTAGTAAGTAATTTCTATGTTAATACAGTAAATTAGTGAAGAATAAATATTGTAGTAATTCAAGAATACTAATTATAAAATGCAAAGTTCTTAAACCACCTGTCTGTCGCCATTTTGAAAGAGTATACGTTGTTATATTTATTTTGTGTACTATGTAAAATATAAAACTCTGAAGCCTCCTTTCTACCGCCATTTTGAAAGAGTACACGTTGGTATATTTAGTTTATGTATTATATAAAATACAAAACTCTCAAACTTCCTTCCTATCGCCATTTTGAAATAGTACTCGTTAGTATATTTATTTTATATACTATGTAAAGTATAAAACTCTTAAACCTCCTTCACATCGCCATTTTGAAACAGTACACGTTGGTATAATTATTTATATACTATGTAAAATACAAAATACTCAAACCTTCTTTATACTGCCATTTTGAAAGAGTACACGTTGGTATAGTTACACGCTATATAAAATCCTAAACTCTATTAAACTCCATCGCCATCTTGAATCGCTAATAAACGTCAATATAAGTTCATCCCCTTTCGATAATTTCAAAACTGTGTCAAATTTCGACGAATTAAATTAATAATGTACACATTGGTATAGTTATACGCTACATAAAATCCTAAACTCTATTAAACCCTACCGCCATATTGAGTCTCTAATAAACGTCCAATATAAGTTCACCCCGTTTCGATGATTTCAAAACTGTGTCAAAGGTCGACGAATTGATTTAATAATGTACACATTTATATACTTATACGCTATATAAAATCCTAAACTCTATTAAACTCCATCGCCATCTTGAATCGCCAATAAACGTCAATATAAGTTCACCCCGTTTCGATGATTTAAAAACTGTGTCAAAGTTTGACGAATGAATAATGTAGCAATTAATTAAGAGAAAAATACAGCAGTAAGCAAGTTAATCATGTCGTAGTAGGAAGTACACTTTCATCGAGCCATATCGGGTCGAGAATATTGGCGTCTCTCGATACAGAAGTGTACCAGGGGATCGTGCAGAGTAAACTCGATTGTACCTTGTTTGTACGCGAGCCACACTCAAGATCGAAAACCCGATGAGGTTATCGAACATATTATCCGGTGGCAATCATTCTTAAAATAGAGTTAATCGTAGACATCTTATTATCCTGGGCACGTATTGGGTACACAAGCAGCTAGGAAACCATTTTGATACTTTCTTCATTAGATACTTAGCGAGGGTTATACTAACTTGTTATAATCCCTTAGGAAGTCTATTGATTTGGTCAACAATACGAAACCATTTAAATTCGATATCAACATTATCTAACTTAACGACGATATACTGAGGGGAGATTTTACTGGGAGCGATGGTTGATGGATTATTGGTAATTTAGACATTTTTGGAATTGTATGGTTTTAGGTTAATTTAGGTAAGTTTTAAAGTTTTGGAGTTTCAATTTTACTGTTACATTATTTGTTAATTTAACAGTTTCACAATCTCACAATGTCACAATGTCACAATTTAATAAGTTCACAATATCTCAATTTTATAATTTTATAATTCCTAAATTTTCAAATATAAAAATTTCCAATTCCCTCATATACTAAAATCTACAAATTTTCTAATTTCTAAATTATCAAATTATTTTTTTAAATTATCAGCTGTCTGAAAAGCTGTATGTCTTCATAAAGTACCAAATTTCTAAATGTCTAAATCCCCAATTTCATAAATGTTAGAACTTCTCAATTTTCAAATTCTAAAATACCCAAAGTGACAAATATTAAAATTCTCAAATGTCCAAATTTAGAAATTTTTAAACTCACAAATGTTAAAATCCTCAAATCCTCAAATCTCCAAACTTTGAAATGTTATATTCCTCAAATCCCCAAATCCTCAAATCCCCAAACTCTCAAATGTTAATACCCTCAAATCCCTAAACTCTCAAATGTTATATTCCGCAAATCCCCAAACTCTCAAATGTTAATACCCTCAAATCCCCAAATTCTCAAATTTTAAAATCCTCACATTCCTAAACTCTCAAATGTTAAAATCCTCAAATCCTCAAACTCTCAAATGTTAATACCCTCAAATCCCTAAACTCTCAAATGTTATATTCCTCAAATCCCTAAACTCTCAAATGTTATATTCCGCAAATCCCCAAACTCTCAAATGTTAATACCCTCAAATCCCTAAACTCTCAAATGTTATACTCCTCAAATGCTCAAACTCTCAAATATTAAAATCCTCAAATCCCCAATCTCTCAAATGTTATACTCCTCAAATTCCCAAACTCTCAGATGTTAAAATCCTCAAATCCCCAAATACTCAAATGTTAAAATCCTCAAATCCCCAAATTCTCAAATGTTAAAATCCTCAAATCCCCAAACTCTCAAATGTTATATTCAAACCATTTAAATTCGACATCAACAATTACCTAACTTCAAAATATCTAATTTCTCTTAAATAAAAAAAGAGGGAGAATTAAAATTTAATTTTCTTTTAAACAGCTAAGTTAACTTTTTTTTAACTTGATATTTTTTTAACATTGTTTTCCAAATTTTTAGTTCGTGTTTCAATTTTTAGTTCAGTACAACATTTTTCAGCAAGATCAATAAAATATGATCATTTCGTGAAAATAAATACCGTGTGAAAAAATGAATGATTGTCGTGGTTTTAAACCGTTCTGAAAATAATTCTTCTAACCTGTCGCGGATATCACGTTTCTCATATTGATTTCAATTTTAGTATCTATAGTTCGCTGGTTCAGTAACGTGAAATATGGAAAATTATTAACTGTGATGGCGTCGAATTGGACCTAATATTTGATCCGATTTTATGCGGAGAGAAATTATTTATAAATCTGGTCATAGCTCTATGTGACTTTGTGCAACTTTGTATAAAAAAAAAACAGACAGTAATAAGAAAAAAAGCTGGACATTAAAAATTTGTATTAAAAATGTATTATTAATGACAATGGAATACTAGTTTAGAAATAATGGGCAGGAATTAACAAACAATTTCTTTAAATTATGCGTCCTTTATTAATCAAAGTTAAATATCACAATAAAAATGTATTTACAACTTGTTATATACCTTAACTTTTAATACTTGTTTAAATACTCCAACCGTATTTGAGGTATTGAATGCACTAACGAATAAAGTCTACTTTTAAAAGTATCGAAAATGCGCCTAAATTACGAGATCACTAATTTTACATTTTTTAAATATTTATTCTAAAAAGAATTTTTATAAATTACGTCTAAATTTCTAGGAAACCATTCTTGCCACTTCATTTTTGGAAAAGTCACACCATTTTAATAGCGTTATTAAAAATTCATCATCAAGTTCAACAACCTCCAATAGTACAAAATTAGAACGACGTTAAATTTTTCATTTCGTCGCTCACAGACTTCCTATTATGTAATAAATTAATAATCGCAAATTGGTTATTTCATCGACGAATTTGTGAACAATTGAGGGTCTCTGCTGCCATCTCTGGCAAAATCGTACGCAATCGATAGCAGAAGTGTTCAGAAGAGAAGGTTATCTTTGCAGGAAGGTTTGAGAGTTTTCTGATCGAAAACTAACACTCTACCGATATTGCAGGGACCTTGTTCACCCTCTCTGTAACATCGACTGTCTCCTGGCCAGAGGAACGTGTTATCAGGACATTTCATAGAGAGTTTCACGTATTCTGCCTGGTCGGGAAAGTAGACGAAGTCAGGATTCAGACTCTTGGTTAAGCCGATGGACGGATAACTACAAATGTGCAGGATGCACGTGCTTAGAACTGCGAGCACTGTTACCGAACGCATGTTTGGTCCAAACTTCCGGTTATCCGCTGTTTCTGAGTCCTGGAACAGAAGCAGCGGTGGTTAAGTTCGAAATCGTTTTGGTTTGATTTCAAACTAAATTAATATTACAATTATGACTAAATTTATATTTTATAATTGAGAATGAACTACAACTAAATTGTAATTATTGTAATTATGATTAAATGAGAGTTAGTTTATGAGAAACTTATAATCATTATAATTGTGGCTAAATTAGAAATGAACTATAATTATTGTAGTAGTGATTATATTATGACTATATTCATATTTTATAATTGAGAGTAAACTACAACTAAATTGTAATTATTATAATTATGATTAAATTAGAGTTAGTTTATGAGAAACTTATAATCATTATAATAATGGCTAAATTAGAACTGAATTATAATTATTGTAGTTGTGATTAAATTATGACTATATTCATATTTTATAATTGAAAGTAAACTACAACTAAATTGTAATTATTATAATTATGATTAAATGAGAGTTAGTTTATGAGAAACTTATAATTATTATAATTGTGGCTAAAGTAGGACTAAATTATAATTATTGTAGTAGTGATTAAATTATGACTATATTCATATTTTATAATTGAGAGTGAACTACAACTAATTTATAATTATTATAATTTTGACTAAATTAGAATTAAATTAAAAGTAACTTATAATCATTATAATTATGGCTAAATTAGAACTAAACTATAATTATTGTAGTTGTGATTAAATTACAATTAAATTCATATTTTATAATTAACAGTAAACTACAACTAAATTATTATCATTATAATTATGACTAAATTGTAATCATTATAATTATTAATCATTAATTACTATCAGAGAGTATAATAAAATTATAATTGGATTAATGTACCAACTGTCACAAGATAGCCGTCGTCAGACATTTTATTGAATTGAATTTTATAGCCACCTAACCTAGCTACTATACTGGTTAACATAGTTTGAACGAATAATTTTAAATAAAATAAAAAATCATCATTAATAATTAAGAAATGTATCAAAACATGTTAACAATTTTGTAATCTTATTGAGTTAAACTGAAAGGACCTATAAATGACCTAAATTGAATTTTAACAATTTAATGGAAATTTGGATACAAATTTATTGTATCGTATGAGTATAAAATTATACTCGATTGTAATTTTTCAATATAATAGAATATTTCTCATCGAAGGAGAAACGTATAAATTTGCACACTCATAATCACAGAAACTTTCACGATGTCGAGCGTTCTCATGGTGAATATTGCAGATCGTTTAAAATTTTTAATTGAAAAATTTTTACCTGTTGTACTCTACCGGAAAACACAGTTGCTAAAAACAACTTTTGAACTATTTTTAACGATCATCTAATTTGACAAATATTAAAAACTAAAATGCATGTATCAACGTTTTAATTAATTGCTAAAAATTTGATTAATAATTATTTAAATTACAAAATGTTATAAAAAGCTGTTCGATAAAGACAAATTATTATTACAAACTTTTCCTGCAAAAATTTGTTTAACAAAAGTTAATAAAGTTATAGTCAATAAGGTTATAAGAAAGATATAAATAAAATAGGAGGAATGTAAATAAAATAATAAGAAAAATGCAAAGAAAATAGTAAAAAAAATGATAACAAAGCAATTACAAATTTATTGATATTGTGCAGCGCTAAAAGAGAAACTGAATGTTTTTTCTAGCAGTCTGTGATGTTGCCACCTCAATTTATAACCGCAGCCTCCATTTCGTTATGAATTAAATTCTTTGTTGCTTTCTATTTCCAATCAATTTCAATAAATCGTTAAATTACAAAAACTCGTTTTATCAACCAACAGGGTCACTGAATAAGTGATACATTTCTGTTGTAATCTGCTGACACCGTATAAAGTATGCAAAATAGTAAGATAACGTTTTTTCTCGATATAGGTCAAGTGATAACTATTAATTAAAATATGAAGATGTATGTTAACTTGTAACATATTCATATTGCTCTTTCAAATTTATTTTTGAAAATCGCAAAATTTTTTATAAAAGAATCATTGCAATCTTCGTTAGCAAAGATAAATTAAAATGCAGAAGAAAAATGATTACTTGAGAAAAATTCAATAAATAATAACTGGAAGAACATTATTACCTAAATTACCTAAAAAATGAATCATTACAGAATTATTTATTTTCAAAATAACTAACGAAATAATACAATAAAAATAAACTAACTAAACATTTAAAAGAAATTAACTAAAGTTTAATAAAATTAAAAAGAAATTAAATTCAAATTAAATTAAATTGAACAAAGAATTAAAAAAGTAAAGACGTGTACAAGGCGTTTATTGATAAAACAAGTCTGCCATACATAGAAAGTTTATCGCATATTTTCCAGATAAATTAAAAGTTTTGAAGTGTTTCGTTTATTTGTCGAACAGAAATACATTGGAAAATAATATGGAGCTCTCAAACTGCATGACGCAGAATATTCTTCTGTATTACAAATAAAAGCAACAGAGCTAAAAAAACGCTTTTCAATGCAAAAGAAGTATTAACAACGAAAAATGTAATAAATGGAATTGTAAATTTATCGTGAATACAGAAAATATGTATTATTAGAATATCATGATTCAAAATTATTTCCATTCACTCTGTTTATAAATTATTGGAGATAATCTATGATCTGGAAAGTCCCAGTTATGAACGATGATCATATTATATATGTCTTATATCATTACTTTTACTCATATTATTACCATTGTTATTGTCATTGTTACCATTATTGTTATTATTATTAATTCTTTGTACTTGAAGGTATTTTTGCTCTTGGAAAATTCCTAGATTCCTAGATTCCTAGATTCCTAGATTCCTAGATTCTTAGATTCCTAGATTCCTAGATTCCTAGATTCCTAGATTCCTAGATTCCTAGATTCCTAGATTCCTAGATTCCTAGATTCCTAGATTCCTAGATTCCTAGATTCCTAGATTCCTAGATTCCTAGATTCCTAGATTCCTAGATTCCTAGATTCCTAGATTCCTAGATTCCTAGATTCCTAGATTCCTAGATTCCTAGATTCCTAGATTCCTAGATTCCTAGATTCCTAGATTCCTAGATTCCTAGATTCCTAGATTCCTAGATTCCTAGATTCCTAGATTCCTAGATTCCTAGATTCCTAGATTCCTAGATTCCTAGATTCCTAGATTCCTAGATTCCTAGATTCCTAGATTCCTAGATTCCTAGGTTGCTAGATTGTTGGATTGCTAGATTCCTAGATTCCTAGATTTTTAGATTCCTAGGTTGCTAGATTGCTGGATTGCTAGATTCCTAGATTCCTAGATTCCAAGATTCCTAGATTCCTAGATTCCCAGGATTTCAAGTTTATAGATTTCAACATTTTTAGAATCCTAAATTCTCAATTTTCAATTTACTAAAATTTTTTATTGACAAACTTAATGATCTCTTTTGAGGTTGGGCTAATGACCATGGCAGTCGATGCCCATAACATCATCATCTTTTGAGGTTATGTCTCAAGTATATATATGGCATCTCTGTTGTGCTTATACATCCCATAATTAATTAAAAAATAGCTATTACATATTGTTGAGTCAAAATGTATCACCTTTTAAATGTGAAGAGATATTATCATTAATAAACCACAATGTTTACAGTGACAATTACAGAATTATAAAACCACAGTATAATACAATAATAATTAACAGAAAAGAAGTGAAAAATGATAAAATGTAATAAAAATACAAAATGCTAAATTAGAAATATATTACTAAAGTAGGTAAAGAAAATACAATACTGTAAATATGTAGAAAAAAAAATAAAAAGAGAAAGGATAGGTATAAAAATTAATACATTAATAGTAAAATATGCAAGAGTAATACCAAGAATAATAAATATAACAGTAAATAGCAGTAATATTAACAGTAGTAATGGTTGTAAAAATTATATAGTATGGATGATGGATAAATTGTCATATGCAAATGCAAGGTCCAAATGTGACCATGACACTAAATGAAGCACTGCCATATACAAAATGGCCTTAAGGTTGTAATTTGAACAAATAACCTTCATTATTTTTTTCCTCGTACAATTACCGTGGCAGTCGTTTACAAGGGAACATTGTAACATGCATGGCTGAATATCATTTTCAAATTGAGAATTTTGCAAATTATTAAATTTATAAATTTTCAAGTTAAATTATTTCCAAACGTTTGAGTTTATTGATCTTTAATTGGTAAATTGCTGTATTGGGAGATTCTTAGAGTTTTAGGTTTGTAGATTTTTAGATTTGTAGATTGCTAGATTCCTAGATTCCTAGATTCCTAGATTTCTAAATTCCTAGATTCCTAGATTCCTAGATTGCTAGATTGCTAGATTGCTAGATTGCTAGATTGCTAGATTGCTAGATTGCTAGATTGCTAGATTGCTAGATTGCTAGATTGCTAGATTGCTAGATTCCTAAATTACTAGATTGCTAGATTGCTATATTGCTAGATTGCTAGATTGCTAGATTGCTAGATTGCTAGATTGCTAGATTGCTAGATTGCTAGATTGCTAGATTGCTAGATTGCTAGATTGCTAGATTGCTAGATTGCTAGATTGCTAGATTGCTAGATTGCTAGATTGCTAGATTGCTAGATTGCTAGATTGCTAGATTGCTAGATTGCTAGATTGCTAGATTGCTAGATTGCTAGATTGCTAGATTGCTAGATTGCTAGATTGCTAGATTGCTAGATTGCTAGATTGCTAGATTGCTAGATTGCTAGATTGCTAGATTGCTAGATTGCTAGATTGCTAGATTGCTAGATTGCTAGATTGCTAGATTGCTAGATTGCTAGATTGCTAGATTGCTAGATTGCTAGATTGCTAGATTGCTAGATTGCTAGATTGCTAGATTGCTAGATTGCTAGATTGCTAGATTGCTAGATTGTCAGATTGCTGAATTACTAGATTCCTAGATTTCTAGATTCCTAGGTTCCTAGATTCATAGATTCCTACATTTCTAGATTCCCGACATCTTAA